AGCTGGGGTGCATCTGTAAAATGACTAACACTGGTCAGTGTGTTCTATACTGTTTGACACAGAGAAATGTGGCACTAAAATAAAATATATATAAAATAAAATGCAGCAGGCTATCAGGATTTCTCATGCATGTCCTGCATGAAATTAAACAGATTGTATGGAAAATTCAATTGTAAAGATCAGTTTATTTTACACATCTCTCCTTCCCCACCTTCAGTAACTAGAAGGACTGTGGGGGGAACTTGAATGTTGTGCACACTCAATATTATTAGGGCTGGTAAAATCCTCCTCACACTGAGCCCTGGTATGCTGGAGTGTGAAGATCATTAAAAACTACTTACCCTCCCCTTTCCCTTCCCTTTCCCTTTCTTGGGTGCATCACGGTAACCCTGAGAAACAGAGACACGACTAAGACAGAAAGCAGAGGGATTGGCGTTCCTCTTAAAAGACCCCATCTGGAGTGGCAGCTGTGTTCAAAGCCTGACTAAGGCACAAAAGAAAACGTGAGAAGATTTGGAGCTAAAGAAAAATCTTTGAAACAAAGAGACACATCATTTTATTTGGGACAGCAAGTGTGGATTTAGAAAAGGAAGATCTAATTTAATTTGTGCTACTTGGTGAAAGCAGCAACATTGATTAAATATTACAATCAGTGTTATAAAAAATCACAACCCAAGATGAGATTAAATAAATGAAAGCATGGTAAGTTATAAGTGGAAACAGTCACTGTTCAAAACACCTGTAACAAGCTTTCTCAAAGCCTTGCACTACTTTTCAGGGTCAAAAGGCACATTACCCCTGAATCAAAGCAAAAACTAAAGGTAACGCAAAAACTAAAGAAAGAGCCATTCAGCCCATCTAGCCTAGTAGCTAATGGATCCAGGATCTTAACAAACTGCTTCTTGAAAGAAGCCAGGGAACTGACATCTGGATTGTGGAGCCCAATTAGTTCTCCTGCCCTAAAGTCTTCATTTCAGCTACTAGATCTTTGCTACTGTTAGAGGAAGCGCTGTGTTCAGCTAAACTGCCAAAAATAATAAGAAAATGCATTTAGTGATTATTTTAATCACTAAAAACATTTAGTTCTTAATGGTAATTTTGACCAACTTTAATCTTTGGTTATAGAATACTCACCATGCAACATTTTCTACCTTTTAGAAAATGACCTTAAATCTGTATTTCACGAGGAATGAAGGCAGCCGAAAGCTTGGGAGAAATTAGAATCATTTATTGAGATGTGGAGATTTGGCGTAACTCGCTTGGCTAAGGGCCAACCTCCCGGCCGTTGGACGGGGAGGATAGGACC